TACTAAACAGAAAGGTCTTTAATCTAGTTTTGAACTGGGAGAGTGTGTCTGAGCCTCGGACATTATCAGGAAGGCTATTTCAGAGTTTAGGAGCCATAAAGGAGAAGGCTCGACCTCCTTTACTCGACTTTGCTAATCTAGGTACTACCAGAAGCCCTGAGTTATGAGATCTTAAAGAGCGAGTTGGATTATAGCGAGACAGAAGGTTGGTTAGATAAACAGGAGCTAGATTATTTAAAGCTTTATAGGTAAGAAGCAATATTTTAAATTCAATACGAAACTTAACAGGCAGTCAGTGTAAGGAGGATAAAATTGGGGTGATATGATCATATTTTCTAGACCTGGTACTTGGAACTCAGGCAGCTGTGTTTCGTACTAATTGAAGTTTGTTAATAGAGGATGCTGGGCAGCCAGCAACAGTGCATTACAGTAGTCCAGTAGTCCAATAAGCTAAAATTGGCCATAGTGTATTTTTAAATGAGAGTGTATGGATGTTTCCCACTGATGGGTTACAGCTAGAAGGGCATCTGCTGTGTAAAACATATGCTGGATAAGTTGGTGATTCATTCTGCTGTTGCAACCCCAGATTAATAAAGAGACAAAGCCGACGGAAAATGAATGATAAAAAAATTACTACATAACAGTAAGAAAAAGGAATATTATTTCCATAAAAGTAAATTAAACCAGGTTTCACATATCTTTTGTGAGTATGTTATTTGAGATATAGAAGGCAGGGAAAGCGGCAACATAGAGAGACACTGCAGCATCGCTATAGATTGTGGCTGTGTACATCGATTTGACGGATACATATGAGTTTGTAGCAAAAATGTTAACGGTGCCAAACAGCATTTCTCATTGTTTACATCCCTGTTTACGTCCTTGGTACAACATACCGTTAACGCTAAAAACTGTACGTGTAATAGATCAATTTTAACAAAATTACTTACAGGCTGTGGCTCAGTTCTATTATGGTTGGAGCTGCTCCTTCTTTGAGGAGATTTTAGCCGAATCCAGCACTGAACTGGGAGAGATTCTGGAAGCTGTCTTTTGTCAAATGTTAGCTATATATGCTATATATATTTTATGATTCTCTGGAACAGAATAAAAATTAAACTCTAAGCACTTCTCTCTTTGTGTCTTGTCCTTTGAAATCATAGTGGACCACCCCTTTAAAGCATTGTAGTAGTGCATTAAGAAGTTTCATAAAGATTAATTTTATTAAATTATTTATATGGTGAATACTATACACGGCTATTTTACAATGGATTATTTCATTTCTGTACCTGAGTATGGTTGTTTTCACCTGAAAACAATAAAGCACGGTATATTTGACTTTAATATTTGCTCAATTGTGTTTATTTATGATTGTAGTTTATGTATATAATAAATTACCTAAAATGTATTTATTCATTTATTTATTTATTTATTTATTTATTTATTTATTTATTTATTTATTTAATTCACTCCCCTACACAATCAGCCTAAGTAATGACTTTGCAAAAAGAGCTATTTAAGTCACCTGGTGAAATTATATTGCAATATATATCGCACAGCAACAAAAATATCACAATGTAAAATTTTTCCAATATCATGCAGATTTCATTGTTTTTCTATACTTTGAAATAGAATATCCATCTAGTGTAACTCTACTGTTCTACTCAGTGGGTCATCAGTAGTATTTGGTCATCAGTTTGGTCATTTTTGCTCAGCTGCCCAATCACATTTGAGCCGTTGTTTCAGTGTATCCGTCTTAAATGGCACTGACAGCTGGATTTATCCCTCCGCTCTGCTCTAGTGTCACGCTGCGAGAGCACAAGCGTCGCGTCATGCTTCTAGTGTTAATCTACAAAGGATTATCATATCACACACACGTCCTCCCTGCTGTCCTACTCCACTAAACACACTCTGGCAGCTGTGAAACACACTCAAAACTCAACGCGTGACCTTCGCTCAGTGTGTTTGCGGAATATTGTGATGCTCTTTTGTTGTGCTGCTGCAGTTCTGTCACAATGCCGCTGCGATCAGATGTTTTGCTCATGTTGATGTTGCTTTAGCAGGAGTTTGTCTTGTGTTTGTCAGAGCAGTTGTAAAACAAATGGGGCATGTGATCCAATGCTATTCAGTTCCTGATCTCTGTTCCTATCTTGCAAAACACGTACAGGCCAAAAATAAAATCTAAAACAATGCTTATTCTGACTTGCGTGAGGAATCGATAGGTAAACAAACATGAGTTAGAGTAGCCTAAAATAATATTGAAATAAACATGTCAAAATTTCACTTTTTAAAAATAACATTTTAAAATATATTAAAATATTTTTAGAAAATCTTTTTTTTTTTAAATAACTTTGTCAGCACAGAGCTGCTAAATAATTCATATTTGACACTAGTATACAGCATGCAGTGCAGTGCGTATTTGTAATGTGTTGTGGAGATCAATGCTGAAATTCCAAAATTCAGTATTGGCGTGTAAAAATACATCTGCAAATCAAATGAAATGCACTGATCAAGTTTTAAAATTAAAGTTACTGAAAGTACATAGATTTTTTTTGTAATATAAGTTAAGATTAAGTAAAGTAATAAAAAGAATTAATGATTTATGAATTAATTTAATTTAAACTACTTTAAAGGGCACCTATGATAAAAACTTTTGTAAGCTGTTTGGACAGAACTGTGTGTAGGTATAGTGAGTCCACTGTCATATTGGAGTGATATAAACCCAACAAGTGTCTTTTTAAAATTGACTGACGTTGAAATAGCATCCACATCCCAGTGATTTTGAAGCCCACCCCAATGTGATGTAGGAGTGCGGTTTGAGATTGAGAGGCAACATGTTTCTAATGTTTCATGTTTTCTAATAACATGTGCACACATGTCCACAGTACATTTGTTTTGCAAATAAATTGGGATTATAATATTTGTTATACAAGTTGAAAATGTTTTTAAAACAAAGCATGTTTCTAATAAGGATAGTAAAATCACTATGTAATTCTTAACCGCTGTAATCACCATGGCCGCATGGTTTCAGTAAGCACTAATATATGTGTGTGTGTGTGTGTGTGTGTGTGTGTGTGTGTGTGTGTGTGTGTGTGTGTGTGTGTGTGTGTTAGAACTGCACGATTCTGGTTAAAATGAGAATTACGATTTTTTTTTTTGCTTAAAATCAAGATCAAGATTTTCTCACGATTCTGTAGATGTAAAATAAAGGGTAATATGAAAAGGCTGTTATTGTTGTTTTTTCTTAAACATATGGTAAAATAACAATAATACTTTTAGGCTTGTGTGTACTGGTCTACCGTTGGTTAAAATGCTAAAGTTTGTATAGACTTTGAATGGTGGACTTGAACAGACTTTAAATATGTCCTGGTCATTAATACACAGTAAAGGGATTCCTTCAGAATACGACTATTCATAATTCTAATTTTGAATTAGTATGTTTAGACATATGCTTATCATTTGTCATTAAAAACATTTTTTCAGTGGTAAAATTAAACTTTTATCATTATCAGATTCCCTCTTGCATTATGTTCCGCATAATTTAGGCTAGAGTAGGTAAGGTATACTGACACTGTTAAACTTTTACTTTTGTGCACAACACTTCATGTTCAGTTTGAAAGAAAAAAACACATCAAATGCTTGTCATAGTCATAACTTTAAAATGCGATATGATTATTTAAATAATTTGCGCACTGTTTTAGATGCCACGTGCGGCTCATGGTTGCCGTCACTTTGAGAAAAAAAAATGCAAATCATACTTCCCACACCACACCCAAACAATCGCTCTTTGCAACAAACTAAAAACTAAATTAAGATCGCGTGTAGGGTCAAATCGTGATTGCAATCTTTTTTCGACTAATTGTGCAGCTCTTGTGTGTGTGTGTGTACTGCAAACGGCATTTGTGTAAGACTCATCATTTCAGGAAGGCTTGAATAAACCCCACCACATATATCAAATAAACTTACTTGGAATTTCTGACCAATGCGCTGTATTTCAGCTTCACCCAAGTCTGTCTCTATCACTGATGTTTATTTGATGCAACGCATGATCAGTAACATACACACATTTGGGAATAATTGGCGGGGAGAAGCAGCTCATTTTCATTTAAAGCCACAGGCTACAAAAACAGCTAAAATGTATTCAGACACAAAAATGGGGCAGACTCTGGAGGTTATAATAAGTAACCTGATGGGTATTTTGAGCTTAAATATAAAAAAGTAAAACTAAATTGAAATGCTTAAAAAGCAAGAACTTAATTTAACAACAAAAGCATAGAAAGTTACTAAAAACTGTACTGAAATTGAATATGACAACAGAACACATGAAAATAAAGTATATATTGGATTAGTATATAAATAATGCTTAAACACTGCTCCAATTGTGGAATTCAGTCATAGATAATAATGTAAACTAGTTTTTAGGGCATTTGTTTCAGTAATTGTGGGATACAAAAACAATTCCATTTAAACCAAGCCAAATTTTAATCAATAATTTGAATTTAAATTCATTTCCATTTACAAAATTACAAAATTTAATTGTTTGTTCAGAAAATAATTCAATTCATGTTTATTTCTATAGCGCTTTTATGATGTCTGTGTCGAAGCAGCTTAAAATAGAAGTTAGTAAATTGAAACTGTGTCAGTCCAGATTTTAAGAGTTGGAGTTTAGTTCAGTTCAATGTGGTTTAAATTCACTGCTTAAAGTACAAACACTGAAAAGCAATTCATCGATGCGCTAAATGCTTTATTCATCAATAAATTATTAATAATGGCTTTGTATTTATTTATTTAACATAATCGAAGACTTGTTTTAATACAAAATTTTAGTTATGAGACCTTTGTCAGGCATACCTTATGGTATTTTTTAGAAATTGAGTTGTCATTTAATTTAATTTTTGATATTTTTTAATTGGTCTTATGATGGATTGACAGATATTATTTATCATATTACATTATATTGTACTCCTGGCTAACTTATTTTTTCATGTCGTTTTTTCTTTCTGTAGGTTGCGGGTCGTAAAGGTTTTCCTCATGTAATCTACGCACGTTTGTGGCGCTGGCCTGACCTTCACAAGAATGAGCTGAAGCATGTGAAATTCTGCCAGTATGCATTTGACCTCAAATACGACAATGTCTGTGTCAACCCTTACCATTATGAGAGAGTGGTGTCACCAGGCATCGGTGAGTCTGCTTTATTCATCACCATGAAGACTTTACTGAGCTCTGCAACACGCCTCTTACAGTCTCTTACAGTGTCTTACAGTGTCTCACAATTTCAAAAAACAGTGCATGGAAAACTTACTTGTGCAGTTGATTAAGTTTTGCTTTTTTGTTTTTTTCCCCTCAACTAAAGTTGGTCTCAGTCTTCAAAACACGGGTAAGTTTTTATTACATACTTATCCATTTTACATACCAATATATATTAATTAAATACTATATATATATATATATATATATATATATATATATATATATATATATATATAGTTGAAGTCAGAATTATTAGCACCCCTGAATTATCAGATCACGTGTTTATTTTTTCCCCAATTTTTGTTTAACGGAGAGCAGATTTTTTTCAACACATTTCTAAACATAATAGTTTTAAGAACTCATCTCTAATAACGGTTTTATTTTATCTTTGCCATGATGACAGTAAATACTATTTGACTAGATATTATTCAAGACAGTTCTATAAAGTTTAAAGTGACATTTAAAGGCTTAACTAGGTTAATTAGGTTAACTAGGCAGGTTAGGGTAATTAGGCAAGTGATTATATAACAATGGTTTGTTCTGTAGATTATCGAGAAAAAAAGTAGCTCAAAGGGGATAATAATATTGTCCCTAAAATGGTGTTTAAAAATTAAAAACTGCTTTTATTCTAGCCCAAATAAAACAAATAAGACTTTCTCCAGAGAAAAAAAATATTATCAGACATACTGTGAAAATGTCCTTGCTCTGTTAATCATCATTTGGAAAATATTTAAAAAAGAAGAAAAAAATTCGAAGGGGGCTAATAATTCTGACTTCAACTGTTTATATATATTTTCTTGATCATGATTCAAAAAAAAAAAAAAAAAAAAATATATATATATATATATATTTTTTTTTTAAAATATATATATATATATATATATATATATATATATATATATATATTTTTTTTTTTTTTTTGAATCATGATCAAGAAAATAGTATATAGTATTTAATTATAATTAACCCTGAAAGAGCCAGGCAAACACTACCAGTTTCTGAGGTATAAATACAGCAATACAAAATACAAATTGAAAACTGTTGTTGCTGTTTTTGTACTTAAGGGCTTATTATGCAGTCTCTGTCACCATCTTGTGGCGGAACGTCAAACATCACTTTCTTTGGTCTGCTCAAACAGGCTGGTGGCAGCCAATGCACTAAATTTGATGTTCTGAAATTAGAAATATCCATTAGAGGCACTATTTTCATAAATAAACTGCATAGTTGCAATCTAAACAACTACATTCTCGACTAAAAAGCCTCTTGTTTTCCAACAGCAGCAATATTTGTCAAACTGTAGTGTCCTCTGCTTGTCGCTGTATGTGGGTGGAGTAATACATAAGAGTGAAGGATGAAGAGGCTGGACGAGTGCTGTTATTTGTTGAATATCGTATGACTAACACTGCAATCATATTCGAGAACTAGAAAGTACTGTTGTATAAATATATGGGGCTGTGCAATTAATCGAAAATCCGGTTTCGATTTCGATTTCGGCTTCTAACGATTATGACAAACATTAATCAAGATAAATGATTATTACTGCATATACCGCCCCCTTTTAAGTTGTACACATTTGTTGCTCTGCAAAGCTCAGCTCCACGTGAAAATGATTAAAAGCATGTGCTGTACTGTAACTTTTGCAGCACGGGATGCGCATCAATAATATTTTTAAAAGCGCGAAAGAGCACATGGCATGTGTGTGTGCGTGCCGCACTTAGCCTCGGACAGGCTCAGAGACGAGCAGAGCACACACATCTAACGCCATCGTAATGTGACCGCTTTAACGGTCAAATACATGCTCATTTGTGTCAGAGTGCGGTGTTTAGTGATTATTTATATTAGCCCTCATTTGTATAATAAACAAACAAGTTGTGAATCAAAAGACATATGATAGAGAGACACCATATCAGAGCCGCACTATTCTTAAAGTGACAGCGCGCAATATCCCTGCTGCTGCCTGTTTGTACTATTAATCAAACAACAAAAGGAGAAAATCCCTCACTGCTCTTGACTGAAGGACTTTTGTGGCTAAAGTTTTTTTTTTCTTACAGTAAAGATGCTTAAAGCACAGTTTAAACATGACAGATTTAAAAACTCATTTCTAAAAACTGATTTATTTTATCTTTGCTATGATGACAGCACATAATTTTTTACTAGATATTTTTAAAGATACTGGTATTCAGCTTAAAGTGACATCCAAAGGCTTAATTGGTGTAATTAGGCAAGTCATTGTATAATAGTAGTTTAATCTCCAGACATTCAAAAATATATATTGCTTAAAGGGGCTAATGATATTGAGCTATTAAAATAGGTTTCAAAATATTAAATCCTGCTTTTATTCTGGCCAAAATAAAACAAATAAGCATTTCCAGAAGAAAAAATATTATAGGAAATACTTTTTATAAAATTCTCTGTTAAGCATCATTTGGGAAATATTTATATATATCAAAAAAAAAAATTCACAGAAGGGTGAATAATTTGGACTTCAAATGATAATCATTTTGAATAATCGTGATTACAATTATGACCAAAATAATCATGATTATGATTTTTCCCATAATCGAGCAACCTTATGAATATTTTTTTATTTGAGAGCAATATTCATCTTTTTTTTTAGCATAGCTTGCTTAAGTTGGTTGCCAAGGAAACATTTCCGTATTTTATTTTGTTCTATATTTTGATATTTGTTTTAAAATATTTATCTATTTTATTTCAGCTTAATTTCAATTGTTGAAAATTTTAATATTTCACTTCAAATGTAGTCATAGAGGTTTGTTTTATTTTGTGCTTTTGTCATGTTTAATTAGATTTTTAGTGTTAGTTGTTTTTTTTTGTGTTTTGGTTATTGGTAATGTTTTTCATTTATTTCATTGTTATTAATCAGCTGTATTTTTTCTGTACATCAATGTTTGTACATTAGCTTAAATCTCTGTTTTTAAAATAGCTAAGGCAACATTAATATATATATATATATATATATATATATATATATATATATATATATATATATATATATATATATATATATATATATATATACATATATATATATATATATATATATTTATTTTTTATTTTTTTATTTTTTTTTGAGAACACTTTTCATCAAACATTTTGTAAATGTAATAATTATAGGTAAATATCATATATACAATTTATATGTTTCAGAAACACATTTGTCCTCTGGTCGGTGTCTAGGTCCCACAGGGAGACTGATAAAGGAAGAGTACAGCCACGACTGCATTCAGATGGACGTTCCCCCAGGCCTGCCTCCTCAGCAGGACCACCAGGGGGCGATGAAGCTCCCCCCTCCAGACCACTATGGCCAGCCACTGCCTCCCCTACAGCTGCCTTCAGAAGGCCCCCGCGCACCCCCGCCGGTCACCCTCTACTCCAACATGCCCCTCTCACCCACCGGTAGGAGAAAAGACACTTTGATGTGTGCTTGCGATCATACGCTGCATCCCCTGTTCACTCATTCACTAATCACTATATATGAGGGTTGGAACGATTCACAAAATTGTTGGTTCTGTTTTATCTTAGTTCTGTGGTTACGGTTGATTTGGTTTACATTGTAAAAAAAATCCCATCTTGTAACAGTTATCATTACATTTAGAAAAACCATTATACAACAGATAATTACATAAAATTTCTTTTTTTTTTTGTATTCTATAGAATTGTCTTTAATATTCAAGCAAACGATTTCTTAAGAGATCTTAGCATATCACTTCAGTTGTGTCTTTACATTTCTTCCATTTAGGCTACATGTAGGATTGATTTCTGTTATTATATATTTAGAATAATAATTGTATAATATTAATAATAATAATTATTATTATTATTATTTATTTCTAAGTACATTTCTAAAAGCAGGTGGTTCGCCCAGGGTGCCATTTTAAACTTGAACCGCCACTGACTTGAGGCATGTAGGTTTTCTATATGACGCATTGTAAATAAAATTAATCATAAAGCTTAGAGACACAATATGAAAATGTTATAATACAAATTGTGTTTATCTACACAAAATGCATTTGAGCTTGAACTACAGGCCAACCAGAAAGTGGTGGATGCGGTTCTCAAGTTACAGGTCGCTTTAAAACAACGGCAACTGAAACCCCGCAGAAAAAAGAAAACAGTTATTTTACAGTATTATCCCCTTCAATATGTGTCTTATTATTTCTGTAAATATTTTTGATCTGTTTTTAAAACTATAGCCTACCTTTCTCTATATTGTAGACAACAGCAATAAAAACATGCATGATACTCTGCATTTCAGTAATTTTATTCAAAATATTTATTTTACTTCAGCAGCATCACAACAGATGTGGATCAAAAAAGGTTGTATTTTTTTTTGTAAAAGGTTCGCAAAAATAAAGTTTCACTAAAACGTAACCAAACGACTGAGCTAGCATAATTTGGCTGCGTAAACTTAAAATAAAAATAGCCTGAATATTTTTTACCACAGCTATTTGTAAAACTTAAAGATTAAAATAACGTTTCTTTCAAAATGATCAGTTGGTGGAGGTAAATAAAATAAAGCTGGTGTGTGACCCTCCTATGTTGGTCTGCGCTCAAGTCTCGCCCGCAACTCCCTGCAGCCATAACCAATCAAATATCAAACTACCGCCCAAATACCAGCATAACCAATCAGAAAGAATGAAAGTAATTTAATTTTAAAGCCAATCAATCATTGTTTTCATGCTCGATTGTCGCTGATGAGTTCGATTAATCGAATAATTGTGCACATCACTAGTCTGGTGATTATTTGTCATTCTATATGTAGGTTATATAAAAATGCCAAGACTTATACAGAGGTTTTGAACCATTAAACATGTTTTCCTTTAACCCCTTAACTGTCACAATTTGACAGGTGGGACATTTGCATACAGTTACAACAGTACCTTAGTCCTAACCTAAAGTAATATGGACAATAATAAAAAGAAATATTGATGAAAGCTAGGCGTCATGGTGGCGCAGTGGGTAGCATGTTCGCCTCACAGCAAGAAGGTTGCTGGTTTGAGTCCCAGCTGGGTCAGTTGGTGTTTCTGTGTAAAGTTTCTCCCTGTGTTCGCATGGGTTTCCTCTGGGTGCTCTGGTTTCCCCTCACAGTCCAAGCACTTGCGCTATAGGTGAATTGAATAGGCTAAATTGGATGTAGTGTATCTGTGTGAATGCAAGAGTGTATGGGTGTTTCCCAGTGTTGGGTTGCGGCTGAAAGGGCATCCGCTGTGTAAAACATATGCTGGATAAGTTGGCGGTTCATTCTGCTGTAGTGACACCTAATTAACAACGGGAATAAGCTGAAAAGAAAATGAATTGATGAAAGCTTACAAACAAGGGTTACCATACTGATTTTCAAAACAGTTGACATAGGAAGAGTTCATTAATTTGCAGCAAGGATATTCTCAGACCCATAAGGATTCAATTTGTTACATGAATTTTAAATAGCAATGCTCATGAAATATCATGAACGTCTGGTCTTGAAAGTTTGGTACTACACTTAAACAAAATCTGACTGTAAGCTCATTTTTGAGAAATCAACTTTAGGTAGAAAAAGACCAAACTTAAAGAGATACTTCATCCAATAACTGAATTATTATTATTTTTTTACCATTTTTGGGTGAACTGTCCCAATAAATCTATGCTCAAATATTCAACAATTTAATTTGAAATATTATATTGTGTTTTGTAAAATAGCACAAATTATGGATTTAAATGTGGAAAAGTACATACAGCATATATATATAAACGTAATTTACTGCGGTTGTTAGGTACTGGAAAAGCATAAAAATGCACCTTGAAAGTGCTTGAAAAATGCTGGAATTTGAAGTTGGAAAAGGTGTGAGAATCCTGTAAATAGTGCAAATCTGTTGAGCGAACTATATTAGAACAAACGGAAATGACATGAGCAAATCAGTGATGTAAATAGTGTAAGCCAGAGAGTGTTTCTTGTGAACAGTCTCATCATGAACACCTACCTATGACTGCAAAATATAATTGTTATAAATTGAACATCAGTGTTCAGTTGTCTTATTTATTGTAGTCTTTGTTGTTTAAGTATTAATTACATTTGAAGATAAAAACACATAATATATTTTTGGTCATAAAATATGTAAATTGAACATAGTATATGAGTGTAATATGGAATATTAATTAGTCAAAATAATATAAGAATTATCTACCAACAAGGAATTTAGCAATATTAATTGAGTGATCACTATTTTTCTTTTATAAATCCTTAACACGTATTAAATTAAATGAAGTATTCGTTAATTTTGGTCATACATACACATAAGAGTAAGACTTCATTCAGAACTTGTAAATGATTTGTTTGCATTTGTATACAAAACCTACTAAACTCTATGAAATCATTTCAATTTAAAGTAGTTTTGTCGATTTAATAGTTCATGAACAGTTAACAAGCGCCACTAGTCTTTCAGAAAAACATTAATAGGAAAGAACATCCCTAATTTTACTATAACATTTTATTTACAGTAAAAAAAACATACTGTTAGTATACACTGTATACTATTTAAAAATATGGTAGAGACATTTCTAAATTTACAGTAAAATACTGTATTTCTTTAATTTAAACCATGTTAGTACTTTAATGTTTTGAAGTATTAATATCTACTTCGTACCTTTGTAATACACACAAAATGTCACCAGAAGCAGGTGTTAATATGATCGTCACATGATCAGCAAATTAACTGGTCAATAAACACAGTAATGTCAACAAAACATAAAAATATAAGTGTCATACAGGGAATTCTGGGAAACTCAATTTACAGTTATTCACCATATATTGTATGGTAACTTACAGTTAACCAGGTAAAAACAGTTTTTTTTACTCTGTAAAAATGTACTGCTTGATACTGATCAGTAAATAATGGTCATGTTTTAGTGTAGTGAACGACTGTAGGGCATATAGTAGTTCACTCGGCTCTCTAAAATGTTTTTAAGTGCACTATAAAGTGTATAGTAAGTGACTGTTTTGAAGACCGCAACAGTGTCTCATTAACCCTCTTATCTTTCAGCTTCAGGCTCTATGATGCCGATGCAGGGAGGTCATGGTGAAGGCTTACTACAGATAGCGTCTCCTCAGGGTCAAGTCATGACCCCTACCCCTCCCCCCTCCACCCCTACACATGGACCCCCACAGACCCCCGTCCCACCACAGCCTCCACCCAACCAGAATGGCTACAATAGCTCCAAACACTCCCAGACGCAAGGCTCCTTTCACAGTCAGTATTACGCATAGAATAAAGCACCCACCCTAATTAACTGATACCCAGTGTTGTTCTAATTATTTTTAGGCTGTCATTATTTTTTTATGTTTGGAAAAGTTTTTGGTGGTTTTGTTACATGCTTGTTATTGACTTTGTTATTTTTTTATAATAAGTATAAATGTATAAGTTTATTTTATTAAGCTTTGTACTTCATCTTATGCTTATTTCAGTTTATGTGTTTTTTGAATGTAGCTTTTATGTTTTCCCCCTAAATCTCAATAGAATATTTTTATTAAGTTTAGTTGTTTTGTAGCTTTGCCATGTGCTTTTGTTGTTTTTTTTATTTATCTTTAATATATTTTTAGTTTTGTTTTATTTGTGTTTAGTTTAGTTTAGTTTAGTTTAGTTTAGTTTAGTACTTCAATTTACATTTAAGCTGGCAAAGCAACTATATAACATTTATAACTTAATTTATTTGAGCTTTTATTAGTTGATTTACTTTTTTGTTTTCTAGCTTGTCAATTTTTATCATTTTAATTCATTTAATGCAAATTTTGTTTAAATTATTTTGTTCTTTTGTCTTTTATTCATTATTTCTATTTAGCTTTAATTTAATTATTTAATATTTTCTTTAGTTTAAGTGAAATAAGTTCTTCATTTTAAACCTATTTTAACTTGTTTAACATTTCTATATTTTGGTTTTTAGATTTTATTTAAATGTTTTTTTAAATAATTTTTTTAATGAATTATTGTTGCATTATATATACAGTTGAAGTCGGAATAATTAGCACCCCTGATTTATTACCCCACCCCCCCTTTTTATTTTTTTCCCCAATTTCTGTTTAACAGAGAAAGGATTTTTTCAGCACTTTTCTAAACATAATAGTTTTAATAACTCATTTCTATTAACTGATTTATTTTATCACTTTATCATGATGACAGTAAATAATATTTGCCATGCTATTTTTCAAGACACTTCCATACAGTTTAAAGTGACAATTAAAGGCTTAGGTTAATTAGGTTAATTAGGCTGGTTATGGTAATTAATTAGGCAAGTTATTGTATAATGATGGTTCGTTCTGTAGACTATCGACAAAAAAAATAAATAACTTAAATGGGCTAATAATTTTGTCCTTAGAATGGTTTTAAAAAAATTATTCTACTTTTATTCTAGCCAAAATAAAACAAAAAAGAAGAAAAAAAAACCTTATTAGACATACTGAGAAAAAAAAAACTCTAAGAGTGGCTAATAATTCTGACCTTAACTGTATATATGTTTTTTGTGGCACCACTAACTGAAATCTAATTGGTGTATTCTGGCTGTGGATTTGGCTTGCTGTACAGTATTTTCTCTGTCAGTGTAGATAAAGATAAAATACTTGTCTCTGGAAGCTTGTCGTGTCACGCCTGTTAGGTGTTATGATCTCATAGCAAAAGCCTCTTCACTGTTTTATATGCAAAATATTTCTAATCTTTAAATCACTGCAGCAACCTGGACAGGCAGCAGCACAGCCTCCTACACTCCTGTAGGACCCCAGCAAAATGGACGTGGCCACCAGCCTCCTCTCCACCACCCGCACTTTTGTAAGTTCATCAAAAACCTTACTCCTATCATTTCACTTTAAATGTGCATGTATGTGAATATACTTAACTGATCGAATCTGTTTTTATTTCTTTCTTTCTCAGGGTCTCAACATCACAGTTCAGCATCTTTCCCCCCTCCAGTCTCCAATCATCCAGGTTAATACTTACTATAATATCCACTTACTATGAATCATGCACTACTATTTACAAGTTTGGGGTAGGGCTGGGCGACATGACAAAAATGTTATCTCATATCCTGATAGCAATATATATAACGTTTTTGCACCATTTCTGTAAATGCACACTTGAAATGAACTTTGGACCTTTTATCTGCTCATTGTAATTGAAATCATGAGGGAATAACACACACCTGACCAAGGAACAGCTGAGAAACCAATTGTCCAGTTACATTTGGTCCCTTAACAAGTGGGAGGCACACCTATTTGGATGTAAATACCCTCAAATTAAAGCAAGCTGACAGTCGACAGAAAAGCACATCTTGTCCTTTCATTCAGCCAAAAATGTTAAAATTGTGTCGACGTCCCAATATTTATCGACCTGACTGTATATATGTAAAGGATTACTGCTTTTACATATACTCAGACCTTTTTTAATTGATGTAGTCATTTGTCAAGTTGGCTTAAAATTGAGGAGGCATTCAGCGATTCAACAAGAAGGAACTGTTACTGCTCTGAGGGAGTTTTTTTTTTTTATTAGAGAAGAGTGTTTTTACAGATGATTTAATAAACCCACTCACCCATGTGAAGCATACTTGATAAATGCACAAAGATTTAAATTTATTTTATTATTATTTTTTTATTTAGAGGTATGGATTGATTCGAAGAAAGTGTATATGTACAAAACTGGTGCATGTGTTGGTGTCAGAGAGCGTTTTTTACAGGTGGTTTGCCAAGCCCACTCACTTGTGTGAGGCACACTTAGGCCCCGTTTACACTAGTGCGTTTTAGTTTTAAAACGGCGTTTTAGAATGAAAACGATCCGCGTCCACACTCGCGTTTTACCCAGCGTTTCTGAACTGCTCTCCGTCCACACCAAAATGCTGAAAACGCACATCACATGACCACACAGACACTCTCTGGCAAGCGCTGCAGCCCATCTACCCAGATGAGAGCTGTGCTAGTCTGACTTCTCATCAAGCATCTCACGCTGGATCTAATCTCACTATATTTATTAAACGGGATATTTCATTCATCTTGTTTTCTTTATCTAACGACATATTCCCTGACTTTGGTCACTGGAATCTATTACTTTTTCTCAGGTAACGTGTTTTGGCTAAGCGCAAAGATAAGTTAATGATTAAAATAACCACGTAGCCTATTCTGTATATTGACTGATTGCTTGCCTTTATTTCCTATAATGTATAAACTTATTGTATGTTATACTTTTATAATGACCATTATCTATTATTAAAACTGGTATTCAGCAAAAGAGAGGGTGTGTTTCGTATTTTCACTGAAATTGAAAGGAGGCAGTTGTTATCGGCTCCGTTTTGTTATAAATATCCACACAGTGAAGATGACGCTCATATATGCAGCACAACGCCTCAACATTTCTGCTGTCTAAGTTGCTAATATTAAAATGTAAATAGGCAGTTTCTTAAATCATGTTTACATTTTATTGTTGAGAAAGTGAAACAACGTAGCCAGGGTGATGTGAATGAAGTTATAAAGTACACTGTTCCCTTTGAAGATTTACCCATGTCCACGGTATAGTCCGTTTTCCATATCAAACTGAGAAGAAGAGACTGCAGCCTTGATCAAACTTGCGAAGTCTGAACTTACAAGGAGAGAATGCAGGACTGAACTGTATGTGTTAGGCTACTTAATTTTCAGGAAAAGCCTCAATTAGAGAGGCGAATGTCTACAGCCCCGCCTCGCGTTTTCAGATGTCTCCGTTTTTGCTTATCCACACTGAGACGGAGCAGCAGCGTTTCAGAATGAAAACGGCCTCTCCAGCGTTTTCGAAACGCTCCGTTTTCGGCGCTCGAGAACTCCGCAGTAGTGTGGACGGTTGGCGTAACCGTAGCAAAACTTAAGCGTTTTCAAACTAAAACGCACTAGTGTAAACGGGGCCTTAGAATTACATAATGTTTTGTGGTTGTTGTGTGGTGTGGTGGGGAGGAGAGAAGAGGGGGTCCTGGTTTTTTATTCACAGGGGTTCAGGTAATCTCGGGAGGTAATTGCAATCATATTTTTAACTTAATTTAGAAATTCAGAACTAATGTTTGATTTATAAATTGACAAATTTAAGATAAATATTAATTAAATATAACACTAATTACAAAAACTAATAATTGGAGGTACAATGTAAAAATTCATTCATTCATTTTCTTTTCGGCTTAGTCCCTTTATTAATCTGGGGTCACCAGCGGATTGAACCGCCAACTTATCAGAATCAGAAAGAGCTTTATTGCCAGGTATGTTCGCACATACGAGGAATTTGTTTTCTACAGTTTCTACAGTGCAACAGAATTAGAGAGACAGAAAAAAAAAAAAAAAAGAGTAATAAATATATAAAAAAGCAGTAAGTAGTGAATGCAAATTTATAAATAGACAAGTGTATGTAGACCTACACTATTATCCAGCATATGTTTTACGCAGCGGATCCCCTTCCAGCTGCAAACCATCTCTGGGAAACATTTATACACACTCATACACTACAGACAATTTAGCCTACCAAATTCACCTGTACCGCATGTGTTTGGACTGTGGGGTAAAACCGGAGCACCCGGAGGAAACCCACGCGAACATGCAAACTCCACACAGAAATGCCAACTGACCCAGCCGAGGCTCGAACCAGCGACCTTCTTGGTGTGAGATGACAACACTACCTACTGCACCACTGCATCGCCACAACGTAAAAAAAAATTTAATAAAGCATCGAAGACTTTTAAATTCCAGAGTTTGTCAAAGCATTTCTTTGCACATGCATTTGCTTGAATTTCACATTGACTAAAACCTGTGGAGTTCCACTTTCAACCTACAATGAAAAAATGCTGAATTGTTTCATTGCAGATTTGTATAGGAAATGGAAAAATCCAATCTTTTGGTTAAAAATGAAATTAATTTGTGGTTGTGTTTGTCCCTGTTTTACCCAATATTGGTACTACTATAAGATAATTTTTAAAAAAAATGTAAGCAATCTTTAAAATTCCAATTTTGAATAACAGTTGTATACATAAAGATCATTTCTGCTATCAGACTGACAGTTGAATTTGCGTTATGTCCACAGGTCCTGAGTTTTGGTGTTCAATCTCATATTTCGAGATGGACGTGCAGGTGGGGGAGATGTTTAAAGTGCTGTCCAGCTGTCCGGTGGTGACGATTGACGGGTATGTGGACCCCTCAGGAGGTGACCGCTTCTGCCTCGGGCAGCTCAGTAATGTGCACCGCACTGACGCCAGCGAGAGAGCCAGGTATGTGTGCCACGATACCACAGCTCTCAGAACAGCCAGCTCTGCTTATCAGTGTCAACACGTGTCTTAGAGCTGGGTGATATATTGCACGTTTGTGAAATATTCTGTATTACTTTCTTGCAGATTTAACACAACTGGAGAGTATTGAAGTGCTAAAAATAGATTTTCAGTAGCATTAAATAAAGACAATTCTTTGTATTATTAGATAAAAACAGTTGTCAGCTTCTGAAAGATAATTTTGGATTTTAAAATAAGAAACCTTTTCTCAACAATAAAATTTTTTATAAACTTCATTATGTAATTAACTTTTGTGTTTTTAAGGATGTGAATTAAATGTTACATTAAAATTGTTTGTAATATTTGTATACTATTATTCTATTCATCATTATTTAGAATTGATCTTGTATATTTAGTTTTATTTAGTTTAGTTTTATTTTATTTAATTTATTAGTTTTGTTATTAAGATTTTTTTGCATCAATTTCAACATTTATTTACAAATGTATGATACATGGAGCTTTTTGAATATACATTGGATATACGAAAACAATTAAACACAAGAATCCAGAAAGTGTCTGAAAAAATAAATAAGTATGTCATCAGATATATAGTGTAATCTGATATATATGTGTATATATAGTCAATTTTATTTAAGCATCACTTTTTTTTCTTTTTTTTTTTAATTATTTGTATTTACATGCCAAAACTGGATGCAATTATTCATTCATTCATTTTCCTTCGGATTGGTCTCTTTATTTATAAGGGGTCAACACAGTGGATTGAACCACCAACCTATCCAGCTTATGTTTTACACAACGGATGCCTTTCCAGCTGCAACCCAGTACTGGGAAACACCCATACACGTTTATTCACACTCACACACTACAACCAATTTAGTTAATTCAGTTCACCTATAACGCATGTGGAAACTTACACCAACACGGGGAGAACATGCAAATAGAAATGCCAACTGACCCAGCCGGGGCTCAAACCAGTGACCTCCTTGCTGTGAGGTGACAGTGCTTACCACTGAGCCACCGTGTCCTTCTGGGTACAATTGCTTAACTTTAATATTTTTAATTATTATCTTTGAATTAAGTTTAAGTACTACTAAATATAGAATACAAAAAGCTAGTAAGTGATTACAGAAATGTAGCTTAAGAAATTGCATGTACTTTTGATTTGTTTATTTCAAAATAAAAGTTGAGTCACAATATGGACCATCATCAGAAGCTATTATATAAATGTCAGTGGGATGCTTTATCCCCTAATTACAAAATGTGTATGTAAACATAATTGACAACGATAGGCTTTTTCTATTAAAAAACTGCCATAAATATTGTCACAATGTCACAGTATTTAATACCGTAAAAAGATTGAAAAATCGCAAACTGTCCAGACCTCATGTCTATATGTGTGCGAGTCTGTGTTTGTGTGTAGATGAATTTCACAGGTTTTATGTTTGCCTTAACACATGTTGCAGAAACAGCTCACAGTGCCAGAATGACACTTGATGGTGTGCTAGGATAACCGTAAAATAACAACCTGATGAAATGTAACGCAAGCACTTCAACAATAGCACATCTGGCTTTGGTTATGACGTTTAGTCACATGTATTTGTGTTACAATACTATACTGTATTGATTTAAAAATACATACAATGATTTTGAAGGATGTGCAGTATTATTAAAATTTAATAAACACTCATCTGCCACTTTATTAGGGACACCTGTCCAACTGCTCATTAACACAAATTTCTTATCAGCCAATCACATGGCAGCAACTTAATGCATTTAGCCATGTAGACATGGTCAAGACGATCTGCTGCAGTTCAAACTGAGCATCAGAATTAGGAAGAAAGGTGATTTAAGTGACTTTAAATGTGGCATGGTTGTTGGGGTCAGAAGCGCTAGTCTAACTGTTTCAGAAAATGCTTATCTACTGGGATTTTTGTAAACAACAATCTTTAGGGTTTACAGAGAATGGTCCGTGAGCGGCAGTTCTGTGGTCACAAAAGCCTTGTTGATGCCAGAGGTCAGAGGAGAATGCCCAGACCTGATAGAAAGTCAACAGTAATTCAAATAACCACTCGTTACAACCGAGGTATGAAAAAGAAGATCTCTGAACCCGCAACACATTGAACCTTGAAGCAGATGGGCTACAACAGCAGAAGAACTGCTAAGAACAGGAAACTGAAGCTACAGTTCACACAGGCTCTCTGAAATCGGACAATAGAAGATTGGAAAAACGTTGCCTGGTCTGATGAGTCTCAATTTCTGCTGCAACATTTGAATGATAGGGACAGAATTTGGCATCAACAATTTGAAAGCATGGATCCATCCTGCCTTGTGTCAATGTATCAATGGTTCAGGCTTAGGGTGGTGGTGTAATGGTGTGGGGGATATTTTCTTGGCAAACTTTAGGCCCATTAGTACCAACTGAGCATCGTGTCAACACCACAGCCCACCTGAGTGTTGTTGCTGACCATGTCCATCCCTTTATGACCACAGTGTACTCATCTTCTGATCGCTACTTCCAGTAGGATAACACGTCATGTCATAAAGCGCAAATCATCTCAGACTGGTTTCTTGAACATGACATATTGTTCACTGTACTCAAATGGCCTCCACAGCCACAATCCAATCCAATAGAGCACCTTTGGGATGTGGTGAAATTGGAGATTTACATCATGGATATGCAGCCGACAAATCTGCCGCAACTGCGTGATGCTATCATGTCAATATGGACCAAAATCTCTGAGGAATATTTCCAGTACCTTGTTGAATCTTTGCCACAAAGGATTAAGGCAGTTCTGAAGGCAAAAGGGGGTCCAACTCTGTTCTAGTAAGGTGTACAGTATCTTTTAAAGTGGCCGTAGATTGTATGTTTACTTATTAACTCAAAGAGTGTTTAATTAAAATAAAAGTATAATGAAATAGAAAAAATGAATATTATGAAAGTATTAAAAGGGACAAAAAATATTTTATATTTTATACCTATTCTGTTCACCAAGGCTGCATTTATTTGAATAATACGTTCAGTTAAAGCTGTCAAATTGTGTATTATCAATACAATTTAAAATAACTGTTTAATTATTGAAATTAGTTAAAGATTTTCTGTCAAAAACAATTTAAAAATTATTTATGTTATCATTTTGGTGCTGAAAACTCTTGTGCTGCTTCTTAACTTACTGGAAATTAAATCTACTGTATGTACATGTTACTAAGTGTATTTTATTATTCAAGGACAAATTTGTGTTATCAAAAGGAATGTAGAGACATGTATCATGTAAAGTAAGCTTGATGAGTAGTAGTTTGGTTCCTCTCTGATTGTTGATTTGTCTGCAGGTTGCACATAGGTAAAGGCGTGCAGCTGGAGTGTCGTGGTGAGGGGGATGTATGGATGCGCTGTATGAGCGATCATGCCGTCTTTGTGCAGAGTTATTATCTGGACAGAGAAGCAGGCCGAGCGCCAGGAGATGCAGTGCACAAAATCTACCCAGGGGCCTACATAAAGGTAAAGGATTCTAGCTGGGTTTTGAACCTGCAATGATTGCAAAATGTCAGAAATAAAAGACTTAAAGGTCATCATCATCATGTTTTAAAAATATTTATGGGTGGAAATAGATACTTGTGTCAGGCAAGAAGCTTTGATTTTGCTATAAACCAAATTGTGAATTGTAAAAAATTAAATGCAGGCTTAAGTAAAATTTTTGCCATGAATTTTTATATTTGTGTATTTTTTTATATCACAGTATTTATATTAAAATATATAAAATGAAAGCACATTTTTGTCGGTTATAAGTATTAATATATTAATAAATATTATATAACAATATGTATTTTATATTTTTTTACTAGTGCTGCACAATATATTGTTTCAGCATCGATATCGCAAAGTATGAATCCACAATAGTCACATCGTAAAAATATACAATGTTGTGTTAACTTTGCGGTGTAATTTTTATATTTACATATACAACACCATAATGGATGCACTGTTTATTTTACTTTTATCTTTGCTTTGTTGCATTTATCTATGCTTGTAGTTTATCTATTATGTTATGCATGATTCAATCCCCTACAGAATCATCCCAGTCAATCAAAATGAATACATTCTGTAACGCTTTCGGGACCAATTCTCACTATTAACTAGCTGCTTATTGGCATGCATGTTATTGAGTTAGTGACTGCTTATTAGTACTTTATAAAGCATGTGTTCTGTATCATCTTATTCTACATCCCTAATCCTACCCAATATCTAAACTACTAACTAAATAACTATTAATAATGAGCAAATTAGGAGTTTATTAAAGCAAAAGTCGATATTGTTTGCTAAAAGCGAAAACTGGACCTTAAAATAAAATTTCTTTCCAAGTAAAACAGTATATCGCAATATTTTATTACAGAAAAACAAAATATCCCAATGTCAGATTTTTCCAATATCGTGCTGCCCTAATTTGTACACATTAGCACATAACAAACTTCATTTTTACAACAAAACTATTCAAAATGTAAATAAATAAATCTAGAGTTAAGAAGCAATCATGAAAATATTTTCTTTTGCAAGGTCATGATTAGAGATTTACAAGTTGCTTATTTAGTTTTTGAAATGCGAAACTTTAAAGTTTAAATGATGTTTAATAACAGAATAAAAGAATTGAATTATATTAGTTTATATATTTTCATTTATAAACTTGTATCAATTTATTTTTCAGTTTAAAAATGAGTTTTGTTAAATTTAACTTGATTTAACATTTTATTAGCAAACATTTTTTATCAGCATATAAGTTGCCTGTTTAAATATATATTTAAATATATTGTGTTAATATGAACAATTATTAAAGGGGTGGTTCGGAGTTCATTTTTATGGATTGGTTGTGTTTATTAGATGCAAAGCAATGTGTGCTCATGCCTTCATATATCTTACTGTGGTGAGTATCTACAGCTACTCAGCTAACATAAAAACGACTTTCATATTTCCTAGTTGCTCTAAAAGACCCGCCCAAGAGGCTCTGATTGGTCAGCTAACATAATGTGCTGTGATTCATGGATCAGCTCCACGTCACCAGGAAAAGTGTCACTCCCTTACAAGCACAAGATTTTGTACTATGTAAACACTGTCAGTTAGAGTAGCTGTTAGCCATATTAGTTTGTGCCTAAATCAGACAGAAAATGACACCGTAGACACAGATGAACCTCACGCCTCTTCTCTAAAATAAAATCTGACAAGTGTCTTCCACAAATATTCAGGTTATAAGCATGTGTAAGTAATATGAAATCTTCACATATCTTTAGCGAGTTCGTTATTTGAGATGTAGAGCGCACTGAAAGTGGCTGCATAGAGAGAGATTGTGGGTGTTTACAGTGGTTTAACAGATAAATATGAATTTGTAGCTAAACTGTTAATGATGCCTAACGGCATTTGCTGTTGTTGTTGCTGTTGTCATTGGTACAACATACCGTTAATGCTAGACAATACGCATGTAATAGATTAATTTTAACAAATAAAACACTTATAGATTGTGGCTCACAATCTACGGCTTCTTTTATTATGGTTGGAGCTGCTCCTTCTTTGAGGAGTTTTTAGCCAAATCCAGCACTGAACCGGGAGAGATTTTGGAAGCTCTCCTTTGTCAAATGCTAGAGCTATATATTTTTCATAATTCTCTGGAACATAATTACAATTAAATTGTAAGCACTTCTCTCTTTGTGTCATGTTCGTTGGAAGCCCCAAAAAAGAGCAAGCTCTGTGGAAATAGCAGAGTTTAGAGGGCGTTTTAGCTTTCTCTGCTATAACATTACAGCATTACAGCACCTCTGGCCACACCCCTTTGTTGCGCAGGATGTATGTGCTTGATGAATCGACGTAACCTGAAGCGTTTGTGATCTTACTAGCCTGGATGTATTTTTTTTTTAGTCCCAAAACTTTGTTCGCTGTAGGCTTAATCAAACTCTGTAAAAGCCAGTGCCTCCCTTAGCATTGAATTGTGAGTATATTACATTCAGAGATTTTGTTTATGTTCACACAGCTACATTACACATGTGTTACAGCTACATAAAGTTTAAAATATGATGTCATAGTGGTCCACCCCTTTAAACTAAATTATTGTTGTTGAAGCTAACATTTCAAATGTACTTCCAATTGAAGGTTATGCAGAGTTTTCTTTGAATGCAATGAATGATAGATTTTAATCTTTGCAATATTGTTTATGGAACATGTTAGCTCCAAAAAACTAGATCAGATTAAACAATATAAAAAAAAAACATTAGAAATAAATAAATCACTTTTTAGAATAAGTAGATCAGATAAGTTGCAAGAAGGTTTCTTATTTTTTAATTATTAAAATTCCCCTTTGTGCTTGCAAATGTTACATTAAAATAATAATATTACCATAGTTGTAGTTGTTGCTGTTATTATTTTTATTATTATAAACTTATTATTTTTATTAAGTCTATGTAATATGCTGCATTTTTATACAAGACTCGATGGGCATTGGATACCTTTGTGCACTTGAGAGATCAGTGTGTATTTTTGCTTCCTGTCACATTAGATTTGCTTGATGCAGAGCTTGACTTTTTTGTTTTTTAAAGCTGTCCACATGAGTTCTCGTCAGCGGTTGTTTGAGGACACGGCAGCAGGTCTGTGTGTCTCAGAAGAGAGAGTAAGCATGTGTCTGTGTTTCTGCAGGTGTTTGACCTCAGGCAGTGCCACAGGCAGATGCAGCAGCAAGCAGCGACGGCACAGGCGGCAGCGGCGGCACAGGCGGCAGCGGTCGCGGGGAATATTCCAGGACCGGGAAGTGTTGGTGGAATTGCTCCTGCAGTCAGTGAGTGTCTGCCATGTTCACTGACACTTCATGACATCCATTACATTTGCTTACTTGGACTACATCCTAAAATATTATCTACTTTTTAAAGAAAAAGTATATACAATTGATTGTGTGACAGTATACTTACCAGGTTTTTGTGACATATGATTACAAACTTTGTTACATGCCTTGTCAATTATCTTGTCATTTTTATTATGTTTTTATTTATCTGCCTTATTATCTTCTTTATCTGCCTTATTAGGGATGAAGCAACATGATAGTGCCCTGGTTATACTTCAAACTAAAATGTTTTTTTGTTTTTTTGTGATCATATATTGTGATTTTGAAAATAATTTCACAAGATGAGTCTAGTTTGGATAGAATTCATCTGCAAAAAAAAATCCTAAATAAAATAAACACATTAAAGCACAGATGAAAACAAATGAACAAAGATAAAATTAAAATAAACAGCTCGTTCAATGGAGTCTAACAGTATTAAGGTTAAGAAATTCATCCAATCTAAAATTACACTGTATAGTCTTCATTGTATAAATAAACACATTTAATCTTTGTTGAAGTGCCAAGTTAATTAAGGCTAACTTGCCAGGATAATATACATTTTAGGAGATTTGCCTTTAGAATTACTTTATAGATGACAAAAAGTTGACGACAGGAAAGCCTAAACTACTGTGTTAAAAGTGTTAAACTACTATAGAGCTATCACTTATATGTACACTACCGGTCAAAAGTTTGGGGTCAGTAGAAATTTTAAAGGCGGCATTTGCTAAATTACCATTAATTTGCTAAATTACCATTAATAATAATAATAATAACAATAATAATAAAAACAAAAATAACAACAATAAAAATAATAATAATTATTAGAATAATGTCGGAAGGATCATGTGACTGAAGACTGGAGTAATGAAGCTAAAAAAATTCATCTTTAAAATCACTGTAATAAATTATTACATTAAATCATAAACTACTTTTGAACAGTTGTTTTATAATTTTGATGAAATAAATGCAGCCTTGGTGAGCAGGATAAGCTTATTTTAAAACATTAAAAATCGGACTGACGCCAAACTTACCCGTAGTGATGATAATGTATAAAATGTAAAGAAAGGAGTGTTGTGTGAGCTTCAAGATTGTAAATTGATATTATATGTTATTGTTGAATTATTGCATTATTTACACTTAGCTTAAAATAAGCATTTTTCTACAGGTGTAATGTAGAATGTAACAACAAGGATTTTAGGTACTTAAAGTCCCAAAGAAGGTGCAATTTTTTTTTTCATATTGTGAAGCAGTTCCTAGAGAAACAGAATAATAAATGACACAACAGTGGGTGTGGCTTGTTTTTTTCTACCACAGGCTGAATGAATGTAGTAAAATACGTATTTCATTCAAAAAGATCTGGAAAGGGGTTTTGAGGAGTTATTAAAACTTAACTGACTCATCCTGCTCACCATTTCTGTTTGTTTTCAAAACGAGACAGTTGAACCAGCGTGGTTAAGTATGTTAGCCATGCTCATTACCTCAAAATCATGTAATCTGGGAATTTAACTGAAAACAAACTGCAAGTGCATTTTTTTAGATTTCAATGAAAGATTAGAAGAGCAAATGATTATTTTTTTCTTAATGACATGTTCAGACGAATTGTTCATCACAAAACTAGCAATGTGAGCTAACAAAATCACATGTTAGTTTTTGATTTATTGAGGACTTTAACAGTTATTGCACGTTTAATCAACTGGTTGTTGTGATTGTTTATTTGCAGGCCTCTCTGCGGCAGCAGGCATCGGTGTGGATGACCTTAGGAGGCTGTGTATCCTGCGTCTGAGTTTCGTGAAGGGTTGGGGTCCCGATTACCCCCGGCAGAGCATCAAACACACCCCCTGCTGGGTGGAGGTGCACTTGCACCGGGCGCTGCAGCTGCTGGATGAGGTGCTGCACACTATGCCACTGGCTGACCCTGGACCAGCTAACTGAGAGAAACAATACACCGCATACACTCACCACACAGATAGTGGACTCACTACAGTAAGCGTGCAAACCACATCAAGTGCTACAGTGTGGTTTTCACTTTAATCAGTCGTTAGAAACCCAATGAAAACACCACAGAAACTCACTACTCTAAAACTCATGTTTCTGAAAGATGTTTCAGTGCGTTTTATTGTTCTATAGTGAAATGTTGCATTTCTTTGAGGTTGAATCTCACAAAAAAATGTCAAGGTCATGTTTCACTTCAATATTAAAAGAAACTAAATATTTCTCAAATATCATGAAGACATATTTTAGGAGGATTTTAATAAGTGATCTTATTTTGGTGTGTGTGTCTATGTGTGTGTGTGTATATACATTTGAAGTCAGAATTATTAGACACCCTGAATTATTACAGGGGTCTCACTGTTTTGTTTTGTTTTTCCCGATTTCTGTGTAACGAAGAGAAGATTTTTTCAACGCATTTCTAAACATAATAGTCTAAATTTTCTCATTTCTAATAACTGATTTATTTTCTCTTTGTTATGATGACAGTAAATAATGTTTGACTAAATATTTTTCAAGACACTTCTATACGGCTTAAAGTGACATTTAAAGACTTTACTAGGTTAATTAGGTTAACTAGCCAGGATAGGGTAATTAGGCAAGTTATTGTATAACAATGGTTTGTTCTGTACTCTATCGAAAAAATATATAGCTTAAAGGGGCTAATAATTTTGACTTTAAAATGATTTTTACAAAATGAAAACTGATTTCATTCTAGCCGAAATAAAACTAACAAGACTTTCTCTAGAAGAAAAAAATATCAGACATACTGTGAACATTTCTTTGCTCTGTTAAACATTATTTAGGAAATATTAAAAAAAATAAAATAAAAATTAAATGGGGGACTAATAATTCTCACTTCAACTGTGTGTGTGTATATTTATTTCAGTATCCAATATTATTCTTATAGTGGCCATTGAAGTCATGAAAAATGATATTCAAGCTAATATTTTAATAATATGAAAGCCCAACAGTGGACAGTTTTTTTCCATTCATTTTAGGTCATAGACATTCAGATTTTTACACTGTGGACTTGATGGAATTTGGCTTAAAGAGCCAAATAAAAAAAAAAATATATATATATATTTGATATGAAATATCTTTTAAATACTTTAATTTAAGCCTCTCCACCTGAAGAATGCACCAAAATGCAATTCTCAAATGAGCTTTATTATATGCTTTTCCGGTTGATCATACTCATTATCAGGAAATTACAGAGCTCGCAATGTCACGACTGACGAATCAGAATCAAACTTTTCATTCTAGCCGAAATAAAACTAACAAGACTTTCTCCAGAAGAAAAAAATATCAGACATACTGTGAAAATTTCTTTGCTCTGTTAAACATTATTTAGGAAATATTTAAAAAAAATAATGAAATTAAATGGGGGGCTAATAATTCTGACTTCAACTGTGTGTGTGTTTATATTTATATATATAAAATACACACAGATACAACAAAGGTTACAAAATATCCAAGTAATCTGTTAAAAGAAAGAGTTATTTCAGCCCTTTATTTATGAAAAAATGATCATGGTTTCTACTTTTAACATCAGTAATAATAGGAATTTTTTCTTGAGCATTAAATCATCAATTTCTACCATTATGGCCAGGGGATATTCAATGCATTAAAGGATTTTAAATGAACAACATGGAGGTAAAGAACCACCTAATGCAAAGCAGAAGGTGGTTGAATTCATGAAGGGCATTTCAAATCCTTTAATAAACAAAAAGCAGCTAATTATCTTTCTTATTTTGTGTTCATATGCCAGGTTATGGACTAGTAAAAAGTAGTTTTACTCTTTGAAGGGAAATATTGATCTGTCAGTTATGATGTTAGATCACGTAGTGCCTGCTTTAAATAAGTCACAGGCAGACAGAGAGAGAGCGCAATTGAGCAATCATGTGCACATGTAAATGACACGGGCATATCTAATAGCTCGTAGTAACATGTGTCAGCTACCAACTCGCAAATACGCTCAAAATATTTGTGATTTGTGATTGTATTTGTGCTCCCGGGTGAAGCACTCTGGTGTCAAGATCACACAGAGAAATGAAAGTTCTGGAACCGGTCACAGATTTACTATGGTTACTACTAATGTTTGAGGGAAGCACTTTTTTATTTTAAACTGATCAAAATCTGGCTGGAACTACCTGTGCATTAAACAATTTTATTTCACATCAGAATTAAGAATTTCAACAGACCATGGAATAAATATAATTATTAAATGTACATATTTATTTATAATGATAGTATTTGCTGGTCTTTAAATGGTAGTTTGTTCATTAAAGAAAAATATATAATTATTATTAGTTATTCAATAATAATTAGAAATATGCTTTTTTCTAATATCGTAATGAAAAAAGCCTAAAATTAATAGCATTTTTTAATATACAAAACATTCTTTTGATTTTATGCTGAAATATGACCTGGACTGCTTTGTGGGATTCATCCGTTCAAATTAGATGTATATACCTTAGCGCTACAGGTCTACTAATGAATGCAAGTTTACACAGGGTTGATTGCAGATTAAGTTCAGGGAAATAGCTTTATTGTTCATATGCCTTTCTAGCTTTGCACATCATGCAGTTATGCTAAGAATATTAGAAGTCTAATAGTTTTGCAATACCGGTAGAAAATGCTTTGAATTTGTTCTCGCAAGAAATTAATTTATGGCTCAGCGAACATATGAAAACAAAATGCAAAAATAGCTGCCACTTTAGCAGTGGCCTTTCGGTCGGTTCTCTGAATATTTTTCCATTCATTTACTCCATAAGAGTCAGAGCCTTGAAAATAATCAAGCTGAACATTATAAATAAATATACATTGTGAATTTAAATACAAGTTAAATGCAAAATCATATATTTAAAGAAGAAAAAAATATAAAGAGTGTTACAAGATTCAAATCTCTATGGAGAAAATGATTGATTTATTTACTTTCGGAACCGTTCTGTCGTGCTCTAATATCACACAAACACAAATACACACAACACCACACAGGTAAAGAAGAGACTGTTCAACCTCCAAGCAAGTATTTTTGCATAAATATCTGGAGATCCACGGGTTTAGTAGCACTAACTGCCTCAGAGCAAGTGTATATGGCTATGCTGGCGCTGGTCACTTCAGGAACAGTTGAAAAGGACCAGCTGATGTAGATCTAAACCTGCCTCTGAGAGACAAACTGAACCGACAGAAAACAGGACAAACTGTCAAAACAAAACTGCTCATCGTCATCATCTCTGTGCTTGTGCTGTGCTCCTCTTCATGTGGACCTCAACTCAGCTATTACGCGGCTTACTATCCAGGCATTTTATTAGTTAGACTTGCAATAGCCTTCCAGCTCCTTTATTTTCATACCAAAAAAAAAAAAAGACGAAAAAAAAAACAAGCCTGAATTGTTCAGCTTTAAAATGGTGGTATTGGTATTGTGACGCAGTTCGGTGTTTGTAACCAAAATCATTTGCCATGTGGTGTAATTCACCAAAGCCAGAATACCTCATGATAATCAAGCATGAAACCCAGTGGATTTTTTTCTTTATGCCAAAATGTGTCTGGAAATCTTCTTATTTCTGGACATCATGCTCACCTCATACTTTAACCAAATCGAAACGGGACGTGTCTTGAACCGAATGTAGAGCCTTGATGCACCGACAGACCGATTTCAAGAACAACGGGTTTTTTTCATTTGCCAACACCAGTTGCTGAGCTTATAGCATTTACTCGCCCAGTAACTCAAGTCTAGATTATGACCAAAATGCAGCCCAGTCATACCACTAAAACTCTCTGCAAACGGGTAGAACATCTCAACTTCAAGCATTAAACATGATAGTTTTGCTGCCTTTACCAAATTGAAATGTCTTGATCTTACTGTACACCTACTGGAAATGATGCATCTATTGCAAGGTCATTCATATTGGTTTATTTAACATGTGAAACTAGTATAAATGGAAATATTAAATGACTAAACACTAATAGTTGGTTAAAGTCATCATGAAATCTACATTTATCCATGTCCCATATGGTTTTGTACTTTATTCATCTGAAACCTTTTCAACATTGATAATTAAGAGTGAGAAATGTTTGCTATTTTAGTTTATTTCTGTGAAAGCAGAATCTTTAGCAGCTAGATCAAGAAACTTTTCAGTTGTAATAATGTTTACATCAAGGAGATATGCTGATGGGTTCAATATAAGATGGGAGGAAAGGATATTTTAACGATTTTGCATTTACAAATGTTGAAGTATTGTGTTCCCTGAAGAAACTTTTGCGTTGTTCTGCAGAAGTCTTGTGTTCCCGCAAGAAACTTTGTTCTTTTGTTCCTAAGGTATTGTATTCACCAAGAAAAAATGCATTGATTTGCAAACATATTGCATTCCCTGATACATTTTTAGTTATTTAGTCAAATTATTGAATTCTCCAAAGAAACGCCGTGTTCTTTTCAAAAGGCTTTACATTTTCTTAAGACACTTTGAATTCACTTTAAAGTTTTTTTTTTCTGTATTATCTTGAAAAAGCATGACACTCCCAAAAAAAATTTAGTGTTAATAGTTTTTTTTTTCTTCCCTAGAAAGAATAACGTTTTGTTTTTCAGAATTACTGCATCCCTGAAAACTGATTTGTGTATCATACCAGGCCCGTAGCCAGCCTGGTGAAAGGGGTGGTTCTTTTTTTCTCAAAAAGTGGGCCTTTTTGCAGTCATTCACCCCATTTTCTATTTATTTTTGAGGTTTAAATACTGTATTTTAATGACATTTAAAGTGCTATTTTTGCTGGATTAGCTATGGTCCTCATAACCACACTTTTTGATGTACCAAAAGCATTTCATAAAGATTTTGAATAAAGAAATGACAATACTTATTTTTAAAATACAAAAAAAAAAGAATCTGTTGAAGTTTTTTAATTTATTAGACAAATAACAAACTGGCCAGCACATTCAACTTTCCTCAGGCAGAATTTGGGATGCCGAAGAACGGGAAGTCACGTCATGCCAAATTCAGTTTTCCAAATTCTGTTCCAACAGCCGGCACAAAAAACTTTTTCAATGAGTTATTTTTACAATTTATTTTGGAAGAGCAGTCAAAATGTATGGGACAAATTCTGGACCTTTTTCAGTGAGGGGTGAGTCTTTCGAACTCCTGTGGCTACTGGCCTGCATAAGTATTGTTTTCACCCAAGAAAATGTATACCCATTTTCAAAAGTATTACACTTCCCCTAAGTAACTTTTTTTTTTCTTTTTTTGCAAAAGCATGGCATTAATCCAAGAAAGTGCATTCTGTTATAGTTCATAAATTATATGTAACCCTGGCCCACAAAACCAGTCTAAAGGCGAATATTTGTGGGAACTATTGCCAAAAATGCATTGTCAAAATGATCAAAGTTGATCAAAATGATCAAAGTTCCAAAAATTTATTAGAATATTAAGTTTAATAGTCACTTTAGATAATTGAAAAAAATCCA